AATGGCCTTCCTAACAAAATATGATTATTATTTTTCATATCAAGCACATAAAAATCAGCAGGAAAAACCAAGTTATCAACTTCAACAAGCAAATCCTCAATCACACCCCTAGGATATGTAGTAGATCCATCAGCCAATTGAATTATTATACTTGATTTATTCAGGGGTCCAAGATTTAAAGAAGCATAAACAGAATATGGCATGACATTAATAGAAGCTCCTAAATCTAACATAGCATTTTCAAGTTTAACACCACTTATCATGCATGGGATAGTAAACATACCTGGATCTTTACACTTTTCAGGAAGATTGCTTTGACTAGCCATAGAGACATTCTCTTGCACTTTCACTTCCTCAATTCTTTCATTATTTCGTTTCTTTTTCATAGTGCGTACCTCTTTTAGAAAATTAGCGTAGCGAGGTACTTTTTCCATAGAATCTAAAAGTGATTTATTAGCATCACATTCACGAAAGGTCTCATACAGATCATTATTTGAGTTTCCTTTTATTGGTTCTAAAAGAGCTTGAGGAAATGGGGGTACTTGTTCATAATCAGAAAAAGAAGAAAGCTTACCTTGGGACTTCTCTTTATTGTTGGGAATGATTCCTGCACTTATTTCCTTATTCAAATCAACATTCTTTTCCAGCGACATACTTTCAACATTAATTACACTTACATTCTCTTTAGGATTAACAACCCTTTGAGGGGGTAATTTATCATAACTCTGTGCTTCCAACCGACTAACCGTAGTTGCTAGTTGGCCCATTTGTCTTTCCAAGTTTTGAATACTAGCCTTTGTTTCTTGAATACTAGCTCTTGTCTCTTGTTGGAATAGTTGTGTTTCTTGTTGAAACTGCAAAGTGTTAGTAGCAAGAGATTTAACAATATCTTCTATATTCGTACCTGAGCTAGAGTTTTGGGTCGGTTGTTGTCTTGAAGGAAATGGTTCTCTATACTGTTGAAAATTAGAACGATTCTGAACAAACTGGTTCCCTTGTGAGTTCCCATAGCTAAGGTTTGGGTGATCCCTCCATCCAGGATTATATGTATTGGAGAACGGATCATACTTACCTTGAGGTTGTCCAGGAAAACCTCCAGCCATGTTAACTTGTTCAATAGGTTCTTCTTGAAGAGTTGGACAGGCATCAGTTTGATGCCCAACTACCGAGCAAATTCCACATGCTTTTACAGTTTGCATATTGCCTACTGCTAATTGACGGACAAGAGTAGTTAAACCAGAAATTTGTTATTCAAGAGCAGAAATATTTACCTCATTCACATGCTTAGATGGTTGGACTATTCTATTGCCAAACTGTTGAGAATTTGCAGCCATGTTCGCAATTAGAGTTCTTGCAGCGTCTGGTGTCTTGTCAACTAAAGCACCACCGCTTGCGGCATCAATCATGCTTCTATCCATAGGAAAAAGTCCTTCATAAAAGTATTGAATGAGTAATTGATCACTAATTTGATGGTGTGGGCAGCTTGCACAAAGCATTTTGAAACGCTCCCAATATTCATATAATGACTCTCCATTGTTTTGCCTTATACCACAGATTTCCTTTCTAATGTTGGCCGCCCTTGAAGCTGGGAAATATTTTTCAAGGAATAGTGTCTTTAAGTTATTCCATGTGGTGATGCTTCTGGAGGGTAAATAATATAGCCAATCCTTCGCTGAATCTTTCAAAGAAAAGGGGAAGGCTCTCAACTTGATTTGTTCTTCAGTAACCCCTGTGGGTTTCATACTTGAACACACCACATGGAATTCCTTTAAGTGTTCGTGAGGATCTTCACCTGCAAGTCCATGAAAAGAAGGCAAAAGATGAATTAATCCAGATTTCAGTTCGAATTGTACATTAGCATCCAGAGCAGGGAAAGTGATGCATAAAGGTTGCTGATCTAAATTTGGAGCTCCAAGCTCTTTTAAAGTCTGATTTTGAGCCATGGGTTCCTCTTTTAAATCAGAATTGGTAGCCAGATCACTAAACTCCAATTTGCTCAAAGCTTGTTTCCTCCACCTGCGTACAGTTCTTTCAATTTCTGGATTGTATGGCAGGAATTCTTTTGTTAGCAGATCGAGTTATAGGCATAAACAAAAAGAAAATATATAGCAGCAATTATGTAAAAGTAATGAAAGAAAAGATTTTTAAATTTTTTTTTGGGACAAATTAACGAGAAAAACAAATAAACAAATAAATAAATAAATAAACAAACACAAAATAAGCCAGAAAATCTCACCGGCAACGGCGCCAAAATTTGGTGAGCTGTCGTAGGCTTCCAAATTAAAACCTTACAAACGTAGTAGCGGGAGTAAGGATCGATCCCACGAGGAGTAACTAGTTTAACTTTTGTGCTCAAATATATTAAAGGTAGGGGGGTTTGGAATATATCGAGAATAAAGATAAAATAAAAGAGAATTTAAATAAGCAAGAAATTTAATTGAACGAATAAAGCAATGAAAATAATATATCGAAAACACTTATAATAGGAGACCTTGGTTAGTAAAGATCCACCACCGGAATTTAACACTGATCATTGATTAGTAAAGTAATTAATATGCAATTGAATATTTCTCGTGAAATTATTTCATTTCTGTTTTCCCTTAGTTATAGGTAACTAAAGCACACGTGGTTTAATTACCCCTAACTACTAAATAACCTAAGACAAGCGCTATAGATTTAATTTAATAGCAGCAATAGGAACTAGGAAAACCGACAAACTAAATAACCCAAGCACAAGCGGTTGCATTTAACTTAGGAAAATATTCTACCCGAGTCCAATTATCACTAAGCCGTCAATAATTAACGCAGTTGCTACTGAATATTAGAATAATTTGTAGCACAACATTATCTAATATAGCAAATAATTATATCAAGTAAATAACTAGTAGGCCTCCCTAGCAATTAAATGATACAACTATTCAAATAACTTAGAAGAATATTTAATACCAAAATGCATAAAAATTATATAATAAAAATAAATAAATAATCTTACAGCATAATCAATTCCGGGGCTTCAATTCACTAAACCAAGCTAAAGAAATTAGCAATGAATGGACATTGATAACAGCTTTACAGAATAATCGAGAGGGAAAGAATGAACTAAAGAATGAACGACTTACAATAGAAAACTTCTTCTACTATTTATATATTTCCTAAATTAATTTCTACCACCCATTATCCGCCATTCATTTTCCTATTTTTTAGCGTTATACGAATCAGTCGACGAGGCTTTCCGCTACTGCCGCACGCTGTCAATACTTGCGCATGGTAATTGAAGGATTCAACTCTTGCTGCAACGTACATAATAATTAAGAAACAAAATAACTTTTGTCTATTATGCTAAGCATTGACGGTTTGGGCCATGATATTAGGATTAGATTAAATTGAATTTAAAGAATTAAACTAAAAACATATTATAACTAAATAAAATATTTATTTTGCTTATTAATTATTAAACTCCAAAAAGAAATAATTATTATAAAATAGTAATAATTAATATAAAATTATTAAAAAGATGTACCTAAAATAAGAGTGTAAAATATGCCTATCAGCTTGGAAGGAAAGCTACTCACCTTTTAGAGAGAAGGTGGAGCTAGATTTTTAGAAAGTATAGGGATAGAATGAAGATGGTCTACTAGGTTAGGTTACAATTCTAACACCATGTGAAAGGTCAAGAATACCCTTGCTAACATTAGGAAATATAAGGAACAAGGGAACTCCTTACAAAGCTCAAGGTACAACTTTGACTTTGGGGTTGACTAGTCAATTATTAGTCCCCAAGTATTGAATTTTCAGGATTTTAGGAATTAATTCACTAATTGAAATAGGATTAATTACTTAATTAATCCGTTAATTGAATTTGGATTTTGGGGTGTCACAGCATGTGTTGCCATGGGTCTTGTAGTTATCTTTTGTGTTGTGGTTATCCTTTGTGGTTTTGGGATGTGTTCCCGTATCCTTGTTGAGAGTGTTGAGTCTTGTATTGACTATTGATCTTGGTTTTGTACTTATATACTTATGTATTCCGTTTCAAAAATGGGTTTACAACTTATATCTTATCTATGTATGTTGTTTCACATGTATTTGTGGGTTACCAGCATTATTCGCTGACCGGGCGTCGTCCCATGTTTTATTGTGTTATTTCAGGTGATGTCTAAGCGAGTGCGCAGTCTAGTGCCTGTTAGCATAGCTTCTCCCGTTGGTTTTATGGCCTGTGTACCGCTCTAGTTGTAGACTTTTGAGACTTTTGGATAGTTGTAAACAATGCAGATATTGTCGTAGCGTTCATCCTTGTTGGTGAACGTGGCATAACACCCCATGACTTGGATTTATATTTATCCAGTTATCTTTTAGTCTTCCGCTGTGTTTGTTGTTTAGTTCAGTTATCTGCATGTTTAAGGCTTTTAAATAGCTTGTTTTTAGGGGGTGTTACTTGTGGCCCACGGAGGACCGTGGACCCTTGCCTATATTAAAGACCCTAAGCCTAGATATGTTACTATGGACCTTAGTTTTATAAGCTATGATATTAAATGCCCAAATCCTATATCCCCAATAAATAGTATTTGGCCCAAGATGGTTTATCCCTAGAATCCATAAAGTAGCTAAAGCCTAAATGTTATTCCTAACCCAACTTGTAATAATATTACCCTACTATATATATATATATATATATATATATATATATATATATATATATATATAAAGAGAGAGAGAGAGACTTTGGTTCCCATGAGGTACCTAATTAAAATGAGATCATGAGATCCCATCACCACCATTCACACATTTAAATTTGATGGTTAAGATTAAAAGATATTTAGGAACTAATTATGGTCAGATTCTAAGCATAGTGATATTCACGTAATTGTATAGTTGTATTTGTTTTTGGGAAGAATATTAATATATTATCATGCACAGTAATAGCCTACGTAAGAATGGTTACCATTTAATTACATAGCTTTTCTATATGTTTCACGGTACGCACTGACCGAAGAAAGGAAACGATGGAGGTGGCTTGTGCATTCACAGCTAAAACGGTGAAGAAGTCTGGTTGGGGCCGTGTGCATGGCTTGTCGACATCCGGTATGTGTGCCGTTTTTGGTGTTTTTTAATTTGGTTGTTTGCATAGCTTGTGCGTTCGTAAGTTATGGCATTTGCAACATCTTAAACAAAGTTATGTTGTTGCCGGAGTGTAACACACAGGTGTATAGAGTATGTGCGGTGTGTGCGAGTAGTTGATTAGGTGAATGCGTGTATTGTATATTAGGAGAGCAACAGTACTGGTACTTTTAATTGGGAAGGGAAATATACTCATAATATGTTAGGGTGTGGGAGCATGAATTTGTGAGGGCTTATGCAACATCTTATGTTGGCAATGTAATTTGAAGTGGTTGATAAGTTAAGCAGAAGGTAAAATAAAATACCCACAACATGTATACATGTTTTGGTAGCTTGATAAGATGAATGGATGTTTTCATGTTTGTTGACTAGTTGTGGTAATAATTTAATGAATGAGAACAGTTTATGTAAACCCGTGGGAATTGGTAGTAAGGAGTAACGTTTGTGCGAGTGTGTGGTTTGGCATGTGCGTAATGTCCGATTTGTTTGGTTGAAGTCGTTAAAACTACCTAAACCAGAATACTCAGTACAGAAGATGGTATGTGCTTGAAGAAATGTGTAAAGGGTGCAGAAAATTATATAGTAATTGAAAACAAGAGATATCATTTTAATGGGTATGAAACGTAGTGGTAATTTGTGTGCGTATGGCAACATAATTTAGATGTGTGTGGGGGATATAATTTATCATGTACTAAACTTTAAATCTACATATGTAACAGAATTCTCAGGTGTGGGTGGTGCTGTAAACAATGAAGAAATGGACAATGGAGGCGATTGTGTTATGGATGTGTCGCCTGGTGGTACGAAAACTTGGATACCTGAATGTGACGCAAGCTTGAAACCATTTGAAGGACAGATATTCGACACAATGGAAGATGGGATTAAGTTCTATACGAACTACGCTGGCACAGTTGGATTTGATGTGCGTCGCAGTTCCGATAAAAAAAATAAATACGGCCATATTTTGAAAAAACAAGTGGTATGTTCACGGGAGGTGTATAAGGACACAAAAGGTAAAGAGACTGGTGAGGAAAGAACAACAAAACAGAAGCGCCGGCTGACCACGAACAGAGTAGGATGCGTTGCTAAACTCGTATTGAAGTTCCATAGTGAGGGGAAGTATGTAGTAAAGACATTTGTAGACAGACACAGACACTACTTGTGCGAGGAAAAATTCAAAAGATTCATGAAAGTGAATAGGAAAATAGACATCGGACATCAGGAATTCATAACAAACTGCGGAAAAGTAAACGTTGGGGCAAGCAAGAGTTTTGATATATTCGCCGAGATGGTTGGTAGGCCCGAGAATGTAGGAGCTACACAACAAGACTTCAAGAATTACAGGAGAGAGCTTTTGGCGTACATGAAAGAGAAAGATATACAGATGGTTATATCCCAATACCTGGAGAAGAAAAATGATTGCTTAGATATGTATTTTGAGTACGATGTGAACGAGAAAGACCAATTAGCACGCGTGTTTTGGGCGGATAGGCGGTCAAGAATACACTATGGGGCTTTTGGAGATGTGGTGTCCTTCGATGCAACATACCAAACTAACAGGTACATATGACTACTACGCTTTTGTAAACACGTCGAACAAATATAAAGATGTGTATACGTGTGAGTTTTGCGGTGATAATATAGGGTGCATGTTATGTAGTATTATATTGGTAGGTGTCTGTGCATAATGGTGTTTACGCGTGTGCAAGTAACTGAAAAGGGTAATGGAGTTCGGTTGGGGTGGTGGCAGTTTGGTTGTTACCCTAACTGTACGCATCTGTATATCTAGTGTGAGTGCATACCAATTGTGGCAGTGCACCTACATTTAGTAATGGAAATATAAGATATTAATTGTTAAATGAGCATTGAATTTGAAAAGTATGTGCAAGTAACTATGGGTGTGGTGTTTTGACACTTGCATGTTGGTTATTTAATGCTTGTTGGTGGACGCAGGTACAATCTCGTGTTCGTCCCATTCACAGGTATAGACAACCATAAGAGATGCGTGACATTTGGTGCGGGACTAATTGATAAAGAGGACGTGGAATCGTATAGTTGGATCCTCAGAAACTTCAAGAATGCAATGGGAAGTACACCACCTTTAGTAATAACTGATCAAGATCCAGCTATGAAGGTTGCGATTGAAACGGAGTTCCCGGGGACTCGCCACCGTTACTGTATGTGGCATATTATGACTAAGGTTGGTGATAAAGTGGGTAATACATTAGCGAAGAACGAGGAGTTCTGGCGTGCGTTGAATGCCGTTGTGTGGAACGAGGAAGCAACGATCATAGGATTCGAGAGCGCGTGGCATGAGGTTATTCAGAAGTATGGCCTACTCGAAAATCGTTGGTTGAAACGTATGCATGATGAGTGTGCGTCATGGGTGCCTGCGTTTTTTGAAGATGTGTTTATGGGGGGCCTATTGTGTACGACTTCACGTTCAGAAGTTGAGAATAGAATTTTTCAGAGTAATACTAATAAGCATTTATGTCTTGTTGAATTCTTCAAACGTTTTAAAGTGCAGTTGGGAAACAACGCGACAAGCATCTGCAACTTAGCGCAGCTTGCAACGGGCAAACACCACCTCTCAAGACCCTCCTGCGCATAGAGCGAGAAGCAGCAACGGTGTACACATTGACTGTTTTCTCCGATGTACAAAAAGAAATATGTGAGGGTTGGTTTACATGCCGGGTGAGATCGTACACCGAAGTTGAGGGGGTGAAGACATATGTGGTCGAAGACGGGACCAATAAAAGATACACTGTCATAGTTGAGGATGGGAGCAATAACACAAGCTGCACATGTCGATTATACACAAGGATCGGGCTGCTATGTCGACATGTATTTGTAGTATTAAAAGATGAACGGATCGACCACATACCTCCACAGCATATTACTCTAAGATAGACCAAAGAAGCTGTGAAACATATAGAAAAAGGTATGGGAGTAGGGAGACAAATAGGGGCGAACAACAACGCACATAATACCATTGTGGAAGGGAAAGTTATAAACACAATTTACAGATGTTTGGGCATGGCTAGAGGTAATGCTGAAAAAATGCAACAGATTACAAATGTGATAGAAGAATTGGAAACAACACTGTGCAATAAAGAATTCAGCAGGGCAGAAGATAACGCGAAACAGACAGTTATGGAAGCATATTGTGGAGTTCCAAAGCCAGACACGATTAAAGTGCACCCCTCGCAGTCGCGAAGACCAAAGGGTCTGGCAAGCGAATGAAATCAGCCAAGGAGGTGGCAATTATGGAGCAATTCAAAAAGAAGCGTACTTGCAAAACATGCGGATTGGCGGCTGGCCATAATAGCCAAAGCTGCCCACAGAAGTAGAGTTGATGTACTAGTTACGTAACGTAGGGATGGTATTTCTGATAGTGTTGAAATATTTGGGTGTGCGACAGACCATTTAATTTTGAAATGGTATTTTTATTAAAGTTGAAATAGCTGGCTACAATGTTTTGAACTAGTTTTTTTGTGGTTGGGTTTGTATATAGAAATTGTGCACCATACAAGTAAGGGTGGTATTATTTTGCATCTAGTAATTTTTAGTATAGCGTACCATACTAGTAGCGATCGGGGGTCTATGCGTATATGGGATCAGCTGTGTGCGAAATAATATTAGTAGATTTTAAAATATATATATATATTAATAAAAGGTTGGAAATAAAAGTATTATCATAGGCTCAAGATACACCAATTGTGATTGCTTATGCCGTCAACAAGTAAAAAATGCAGAATCCGATATTCCTAATCCCCCTAATTGGTATGATTAGATGCATACCAAACTTGCACGAACAAACGTGTGTGCGTGCATTCGAGGATGCCTGTGCTTAATAAAAAGATAATTTTTTGGTTTAAAAAATAAGATTAAGAAATAATAAGTCTAGTAACATCTGACATGCAGTGTAAATCGTTAGTTTGAACGACAGATAGCGTAGGAGTAAAAAATGTTTATATGTTAGACTGTAGTAAATAACAAAGAACTGTGCATGCAATGATATAGGTCTGTGCGGTGACGTGCGATGGCTTGTGCGTAAAATACAGTAGCGTCCGAACCACAAACGATAGTAATATGGACTGAAATAGTTTATTCGTTGACAGTAATACGGACTGAAACAGTTTATTCGTTGAGTATAAAATCTTAAAATCGTGCGATAATGTACCAAGCTAAATAGCATTCAAAAAGAAACAAATAACCCCTAGCGGGAAACTATCCAAATAGTCAAATGTTTTCAAAAATCACAACATGCACCTCTAAAAGTATGACAGAACACGTCCACACCTTCACCGAGAACGCCCCACAGTGGTAACAATCAAACCTCGATGTACGTTGCTAGGAAACATAAGAATTTCATAAACATAGTGCACACGTAATTTAAGCAAGCCCCGGGCATCCCCCCTAATTAGTCCACAATCCCATAAAGCTATCGACTGGCCTACGTATGTCTCTAAGTGACGCATCGTAAACACCCCACAATCGAACTTATTTTTTGTGTCGCGCCATGACATACGGAGTCTCCAAGGGATCAAGTGCAATACCTTAACATAGAGGTCTTGAGCCCCAGCATCCTCAAAAAGGACGGATAACAAATCCTTCTACAACAATTGCAGAAACAAAACCAAAAGTCAAAAAAAGGCAAAAATTAAATATTAAAGCGATAACATTTAAAGCCACAGAGAAATAGTACAAGTGGAACATATACATACCAACACTGAAGGGGTAGCCCCATATTTAGCCAAAGATGCCCCGCCCGCGGATGAGTTATCTATCATATCAAATCTCAAGCGGCGTACATCAACCGCTATGAGATAGTAATGACCGTGCTCGAGAATTGGGAATTGAAACTGTACAAAGCCCAGGGTAAAAATATGGATAATTAAAAAAGAGCCTGAAGATATAACAACACATATGCAGCATTAAAACCCATGGAGGAGTGAATGAAAAATACTTTGTATAGCAGAAAAACTTACCATGTCAATTTCACCCCACGAATTATACGGAGATAACTGCAGATCCGCCTCTAACCCTGCCGAGATCCAACCCAACCGTTGCGACCATGAGGTCGAAATTTGAACAGCCGAATACAACTACACACACAAAGTAAGACACATGAATTTGGAAGCACAGGAAAGAATTATGTAAATTGCCACACCATGGTTGCAGAGAGAGTAGCAACGAACCGTGGTTGTGAGTGATGCAAATAACCGGTTTGGAGCGTCAACTGGCTTAGACCTTTCTCAAAAATTTAAAATGCATGCCCAGACATTCAAAACACCCACCAGAACTGTATTTCCTTGTAGCAGTGAAACAATGTCCTCCCTACGAGCAGAGCGATCGCAAAAATTGAATAATTCGACAGTCCTATAATTAAAAAAACATTAAATATGCATAGGCATATGCGTAAAACCACATACGGAATTCATTATAACGCGTAAATGTACATGTCAGCATTTAATGAACTAGCAATCCATTCATAAGCTGCTTGTGACGCAGGATTATGCAAAGGCTGGTTATTGACTGCACGTGCACGCGTGACGGGTGCATACGAATTCAAGTCCATGGTGCGCAATGCACCGACATTAATCAGCCCAGGACGTGAATATTTAGAGGGGTGCCAGACAGTGTGGTAGACCAATAGTCTTACCCAAAGGTGGAGCGAATGGAACAACTTGCTGCAAAAAGAAACAAAAGAAACAATACAAAATAACAGTAAAAAGTTTACTGGAATAAGTGAAAAGTGATTATTCCACGGATGAATACCTCATCGGGAGTGGAAAATACATCGTGACCCGCATTAATTTCAACCTCACGTGGTCGTTTCAAACCCACAAGTCTGTGATTGTCCTTCCCCGCCGATGAAGCTTTGGGGGCACACGAGAGATGGTGTTTGGTTGCACGCACCTAGAAAACCCGGGCAGATGGAAGAATTAGAATGCAAATGAGGAATCAATAAAAAATAGCAACGAGTTGTATACCTAATAATATGACACACAAGGGATAATTAACAAAGTTTCATCTACGGTACAGAACAATACTTACTGCATCACCAGGGGCAGAACGACAATCCCGAGATGCAAGAATGGGTGAGACTCCATCGAAGTTATGCACAATTGCATCCACCACATCCCAACGTTGGGTAGGCAGGTCTTGCGTCAATCCCAAACTGAATGAAGGCAAGTCAGCAACCCCCTAGAGAATGCAGTAAGAAGTCATATAAAATAAAGTGTGTGCGTATGAATAACGACGTATGTGCGTAAAACCCTAATAACCCCTCATACTAACACATTGAACTGGCAGCAAAAGTATTACAGTGGACAACATCCAAACTGATTGTACAAAAAATAGAAAAGAGGGCATTAACAAAAACCTAAACGAACTACGCATCAAACCAGTACACAATGATGCCAGCAAAACACCCCTACAAAATGCGTAACTAGTATGATCGGGGAACAAAATATTTACATACACCAACACAAAGATCCTAGAAGCGGCTAACTTTCTTGCGCTTGTAGATTATCATACTTAAGTTCATAAACAAACAAAATAAAAATAGAAAAACACAAACTAACTAAAAATAAAAATAAAATAATAACGAACCTAACAACTAAAATAAATTTGAAAAGAAAAACTTAAAGAAAACAGTTTAATAAAGTGTCCCCGGCAACGACGCCAAAAACTTGATTGCTATAATCTGCAAGCGCACAGAGTCAATCACAGTATAAATTCCTAGAGTATTCCAGGGTCGATCCCACGAAGAACACTATTAACTGTTATCTTTAATAATCAAATTGTTGATAAGGAAAATCTTAAATAAATAGAATTAATGTGGTTAAAAAGAATATTTATGAATTAAATGCAAAGAAAATTCCAATTTAGAGAAGACTAGGGGTTTGGGTTCACCTATTAGATAATTAACTGACTCTCCTAAGTATTAATTCTTATGACTATAGTGATGATTGCTTCATATATATCCTAATACTCCGTCGAGCTACTAGGTTGTATTCAATTAACTGTGATCATCCGTCGATATCTCACCAACATTAATTAAACCCGTTAAACAACAATCAAATATTACCACAAATACCTAAAGCTATGTCTAGTTTAGGTCAATTGTGTTTATCTTACGAGTTCTAGGTTCATAATTCACCTGTCAGTTCTTCTTATGAACCCTAATATTAGAATTATGCAATGGCCAGACACACAATCCATAATTAAAATACATAAAACAAATATAATCAGGTTCAATTATTTAAATGAAATTAGAAAGAATCAACACATTAAGAATAGTCAATTAATCTAATTTAGGCTAATCCAAATCCCTAATTAAAGTTCTAGCCAAAAATCATATTTGAATGTTCAAGAAATAACATTCTAGAAAGTTTAACAAGAAATAAAAATAAGGATAAAGAAAAATAATTCAAGCCTAAGAAGATGATAGCTGCGATCGAAACTCAGGAATCCCCTACAATGAAGTCTCCTCCACGAAGTCGCCGCCGCTCCCAAGCTTTCGTACTCCTCTATTCTTTTTCTTTCTGCTTTCGTATCTATCTCTTCCGTCTCCTTTTAACTACTGCCGTACGCACCAAGAAGAGCAAAAGCCCCAAAACCTTTTAATTTCTTCTTCTTTTTTTTTTGTCTGTTGCGCAAAACCCAACAAGAAAAAACAAAACAAAATAATAATAAAAATTATAACCTAATGACCCTATTTAATTAAACTAAGTAATAAATAAAATACTATAGCTAAAATAAAATACTATTTATATTAATAAAAATTCAACATTAATTTAATACTTATTAAAATCAATCTAAACTAGTCTAAATTAGTAACATATAACTAAATATAATATTTATAATAAAATCAGCCCTAGAACTTAATTTATTTATAAAAATAACTTACTAAAATTACACTAAATAATGTCTAGAAATTATGCTTATCAAACTTCACCACACTCAAGGTTTTGCTTGTCCCCAAGCAAACTTATTCAATGAAATCAATCTACCAACCATAACCATGCATGTCAACTAGTCATTCAATTCAAGAGAATTGGTAAACACATAATACTTCCTGAGAGTTCAAAGTCATAAGCACACAAGACAAAAGAGAATAGTAGTCCTCACGGTTGTTCACTCAATCTCTCATAAATATATGTATAAGAAAGGTACACATCATCCTCAATTGAGAGTGCACTTGCCATAGGCTTGCTTGTCCACCAAAACTCCAC